CTTATTTTTTGTTGATGTTGTTTGATGATTCGAGTAAAGGAGGAAACAAATTTGTTAAAGAGATGTAATATTCTTTTCCTAAATTTGTTTCCGTTGGGGAAAATCGTTCCCCATTCTCTCTCGGTACCCACTCTCTCTTTGGGTACCGAGGGTACTCGAGTCATGTGCGCCCTGTTCCATCTCATGGAATTACACAGATGCCGTCGTGCCTTTGGGCATCTGTAGCATTCCATTATCTAGGAGTCTCACATTTCTTATGTGTGATTTTTCCTTTCTAATAAAATCTTTGTTTTATTTCTAAAACTCTCAAAGTTGTTATGTATTCATTTCTGTCTCATATATTGTATTTTCTCTTGCTACCTTAGAACAAAGTACCGTAAGCTTTAAGACTTAATTACTTAAGTCTTATCGCGTGTGTGGGGGGGGGCCAACAGGCCGCTGGTGCTTTGCCGGGGTAGGCTCTCTGCTACCTACTCTCGGGACGTATCGTCCGGAGCCTGCGGAGAGCCACCTCGGTATGTCCCGAGGCTACTTCGCATCTGTGCCCCGCGTTCTAACTCCCGAACTCAATCCCCCCTCTCTTTCTCTGGAAGGTCAGTAAACTTTTGCTCTTTCTATTCAATTTAAATCAATCTATCGTTACTTCAGATACACCTCAATTATAACGACAATGCCTATAGTAAGAGCATCCACTATGGGTGCGTTAACGATGTGATTTAGCGTTACAATAACGCTAAAATCCAGACAGGTCCACTATGGACCTGTTTTAGACATGCGGTCCGTACGACCGCGTCAAGTCTTGCAGTCCGCTTGTTCAAATCTACGAAAGCCTACGACTTGATTTATCGTAGGATAATCGGTCAACAGCTGCAGTTTTCAAAACTCCAGACTTCGAAACATCACAATTCAAGACTTCGAATTCGGACTTCAAAGTCCATCCTCAAAACTCAACTTCGATACATCGTATTTTGGAACATCACACTTCGAATCGGATCGATTTCAATCAAGGGTTGGTATTTTTCCTATCATCAAAGTGACCCACACTCTTCCTGTTTTAACTTTACATATAACTTGTGTAGATTATCATTATTAATTAACCGTGAGATATGGTTGTCCTTATTAACTTCTGCTACATTGATATCTGAATGTACAATATACATCTTAATGTTTTGTGAGATACCTGAGCTCGATCTCGATCTATCCGGGTTCAAGTCTGAAGAGGTGAAGGAGGTGTGTGAGGCCTATCAAACAAGAATTCAAAGACAAGTTGGTCAAGTTCTTCTTGTTCCTCATCATTGTCGTTTGAAGACTTAAAAGATGGTTGATATGTGTCTTCAAGAAATTTGTAGTGGGCATTTGATTGGATGGTTTTTTGGATGGAGTTTTATGAAAAAGATAAGTTATCTCATTTCAAAATCAAACCACTGTGGATCAGGACGATTCACAGTGATTCATCGTAGCTAAATCACTCGTTACATCAATCCGTAGTGGATTTCATGCGGTTACCAACTTTGGTAAAACACGCATGATCAAATTTCGCACTCAGGAACGCAAAAATTACGATAAAACACCGTCAAGATAGTGGATGCTCTAAGTCAACATATTAGTCCTGCTCTTTCTTAATTCAATCATGACTTTGATTTAATACCTGCTTATCATTCACTTCTTCAATTTTCATCCAATTCCAAATTAACTTAGCATCTTCTACATCACCTTTAGTATATTTACGAAGATATCTTTGATAAGCTTTCGACTCCCAACGACCCGATTTGACTATGTCCTCCAAGGGTAAGTTCTCATTCCACCTTAACGTCGCACCACCTATTCTAAAAGAATGTCCAGATAACTGACCATGACTATCCGATTTAACCCAGATTCTCCTATATATGTTCAACACCACTGTCTTCGTCAATGTCAACCTTCTTCCATTCCGATCAACATACGCGAATAACCTATCCTCTAAACCTTGACCCGGACTTTCGCGAAAAACCCTTTCTAACGCCCTAACTGGACATAGATGGGAAGGAATCCTCCTAATGTGTAAGTATTGTAACTCCCCAGGTTTCGCAGTCTTGGCATTATGTAAGGCTAATTTAAAATATGAATGGTCTGGTGAATATATCATATCTTTCCTCAATATAATAGCCTTTGCCTTATCATCCGATACCAATTCACCTAATCGGGCCATTCCCCAGAAGGCTATCAACGCAATGGCCAAAGCTAAGCGATCTTGTTCATTTCCTTTATCCAATTCCAACACTAATTCCGCCAAATGTCGTAATTGCACGGGTTGTCTTATAATCTTAGCATCTTCTTTACATTTCGCGTCCGCCATACTCGCCGCCTTCAGAAGTAACTTCGTGATTTTATCATTCTCTGGAGGGAAAGGTTCGTCATGAAAAAGATGCCAAGATCTTATACCAGTTATGTATTTAATTAACGTAGCTGCTGTTACTTTATGAGCTTCGTTTAATTCATTTAATTCTTCTTCTTCTTCCAGATCCACCTTGCATTCTTTTCCTCCCCAAACGATGAACTTCCATAATAATTTTTGACTTAAAGGTAATAGGTCTCGTCTTCCTAAGTTCATTGATAAACCAAAACTTTCTAATTTTGACATCGCTGTGCTGTAATTTTGTAGGGTCGCCTGCAACCATCCTCCCTTCAACAATCGTTACTTAACACTATCCAATTTCCAATCAATCACCCTTATCCAAAGACAAAGAAATAACAAGAACAAGTAACATATTCATCAGTCAGTCAACTTCACCCTCATCCTTCTCGATTCCTTCATCTGTCACTGTAAGGAAAACTCACCCATCTTTATTTCTCAAAAAATTCACCACCTTCTTCTCATTAGTCATCATCCTCCTTACACTACACAAAATGTAATCTTTACCGGGTGGTAAAGTAAACTACTGACATAGAAAAATCCTGAGGCAACAGGAAGAGGGCTAAAAATCTGAAAAAATATGCACCTTGTTCCTAGATGTTGGGGCGTCATGATGAGTATTTTTTTGTATTTTACACACAGATATTGTTTAATGTACTAGCAATAAAGGCTGAGAATCATGAAAAACCCACCTGTAACAATACCTGAAATTTGGCCCATGATTTTGAAGACAGGATTTTGAAATCTTCAAACATCAATAACGTTTGCGGTTCTGAAGCAAATCACTTGATTTTTAGTTCATCAAAAAGGTGAGTCTTTCCTCTACATTTATCATTCAGACATCACATCTGTAGCCGGTCTGTAAAAGGCCCTACAGAGCTATTTATTCAAAACGGTTTGAACATATGTAGAGCGTTTACATGACTAGATAACACCTTACTACGTTTATGAAGTGTAAAGGAGAATAGTTCAGCTTTTGAATGAACCAAAAATCAAGTTATTTGGAGCAGAATTGCATAAGTTATTGAAGTTTTTAGACCACAAAATATTGTCTTCATAATTGTGACCCAAATTTCAGGTATTGTTACAGGTGGGTTTTTGATGATTTTCAGCCTTTATTGTTAGTACATTAACCAATATCTGTGTGTAAAATACTAAAAAATACTCATCATGACGCCCCAACATCTAGGAACAAGGTGCATATTTTTTCAGATTTCTAGCTATCTTCCTGTTGCCTCAGGATTTTTCTATGTCCGTGGTTTTCTTTACCGCCCGGTAAAAATTACATTTTGTGTAGTGTTAGTCTCTTAATAACAAACCTACCAGATCCCGAGGTAAGTTTATCCTGACTTCTTTGTTGAGATCTTTGTTTGTTTCTAAGCCTCTTGAAAGTTTATCGGCTTTGTTCTGACCGGATGATACCCGTCTAGCGACAATCAAACAATTCAAACGAGTGAGTACTTTTTGAATTGATTTCCACTCTTCATTAACTAATCGATGTTTTGATTTGTATTGCAATATTACTGATTCAGTCGTGGTGTTATTGGTATAGACTACAAACGTCTGATTCGTGGTCGTCATAAGCTGTTCTATCATTAGTAAGCCGATTCTTACAGCTACTGTCTCCAGCCATGCTATGTCTCGTTTCTGACTTCCCGGTGATATGTCTTTACTTTTCCAACTGTCAACCAGTTTGAAACTTGTCCACCTGTCACCTATCAAAACCCCGACACCATATCCCGTACTTGCGTCGCCTACCCACCCGATCTCAGATGGATCGACTTCCGCCTTGAATGTCAACCTGTCAAATCTTTCTAAACTCTGCAACCATTCTTTTAATTTGTCTTTCACACCTTCTGGCACTTCTCTCAAAGCACTATGGTTGTACCAGGACTTATCCCACCAATATAAGTTCCACAAATAACATTGCATCATAGGTAAGATATAAACCAAGTGGCTTAGCTGACCGACAATCTTTTCTACCTCTTTCTTCGAGCATTTTCTTGTTGGTGCAAGTAAGTCTTTAATTTTTCTAATCCTTTCTTCTAACTTCTCTGTCGGTAACCTGACTGACTTGTCTTCACCATTCCAAATAAATCCTAAATATTTCTGTTCCACATTCCAGTCCGCAAACTTTTCATCATTTGACTGAACGCCTAAATTATTGCTGACTTGTATTACATCCTTCATATCAAGTAAGTCTCCTTCAAATTTCACAAACATGTTATCATCTACCCACCAAAAGATTTCCTTGACATTAAGAATTGATTTAATGATGTCTCTCCACGCATCAGCCAACCATCCGAATGTTCTGCATCCTGCCACGCCCCCAAAGGGTATCCGTGTATCTATCCAGATATAGCCATTGAAATCTTTGATAGTTAAGTATCTCCATTGATAACATGGTGTTGAGCCTTGCCTATAAGCCTTCTTCCAGTCTACGATTGCTAATAAGATCTTATTTCCTATGTTTAGAATAAAATACTTGGCCACCTTATTAAAATCATCCCAAGTTGTCTCAAAATCCTTTTTATCTACGAAGGAATTGACAGAAGGAATATCTTCACCTTTTTCACCATAATTTGCTGTCTTTATCCATTTAATAGCTGCATCAGTTCGTAACATTTCCTCTTCATCATCTGATTCTGAGTCTTGGTCCCCATCTGAATCAACTTTTCTCTTTTTCGTTTGTATGATTTTCGACCGAGGATAAGAAAGATCATTTATCATGCGTAGTGACCCGTCATTGTTAGTCACACTACCCATAGGGTTGGACCTAAAGAAACCAAGCCTTTGATGTACTTCTTCGTGAGTGAATGGTCCATAAATTCTACCCAGTTTCCGTTCTTTACATAAATTCTTCATTATCTTGTCCTTCACTGCCAGTGCTGATTTATGATTATCTGGTGTAAACCACCTTTCTTCTTTCCAGATATGATGCGGAATCCCTTGATCAAAGCCCTTCATTAAGCCTGACCACACCTTCTTCCATTTCTCCGTAAGTCCACACTCTTCAAGAAGCACTCGCCATTCTTCAAGATGCATATCATTCTTTGCCTCCGTAGGCCAATTTTCTGGTGATCTAGGCGCGTCGACTATGTATTCTTCGTCTCTCTCTCGTTCCATCGATTTTTCTTTACTGTTGTGGCTCAAATTTTGGCTACTTTCATTCACCGTTTTATTACTGCAAAGAACACATCACAAGGAAGAAGAGAAAAACAACAAAACGACCAAAAGAAAACAACTCAATTAGTTAAGTGATCTAAATGTATCACAACATAGGTTAACAATCTGTCACTTAAACGATTCGGAGGGTAAGATAGATTTTTTTTTTTTTTTGGTTAAGATATTATCAAGATAATTATAAAGATTTGTGACAAGGTTGGGGTGTTTTCATTTTTCTCTCAGTCTTGTTTTCAACAACTCACGTCAAACTAGAAGCTACACCTCCTACATTACTCTCTGCATTCTTAGCAGCCGATTCAGTTGCTGCCTTATCAAAGCTTCCAGGTCCTATTGCTGGATGCATACCTCCACCTCGGCCACCTCTCGCGCCACGACCTGTACCTCCTCTTCCTATTCCTCTACCACTACCACCACCTCTAATGTTGCTAGCGTTGAAAGTCGGTTGATTGTTATGGAAGGGTTGACTATTGTAAAAAGGCTGAGTGGTATAGGAATTGCTTGAGTAGTCGGTGTTGTTCACGTATGGTGCAGGGGTGTAAGGATTAGGACGTGAGTAGAATGGATTGAACTTCGTTCCTTTATAACGCACTGTTTTTCCATTCGCTAAAACTGGCAGAGAGTTACGGCCTGCCTGACTAATTACTTGATTAACTGGTTGATTGTTAGATGCAGATAAATTTCTTCCAGTTAACATTTCTGCCTGAGTATCAATGAGGGCACTGTTGGAGTCCCATGAGGCATGTGAAGGGTAAGTCTCTCCATTTATAGGACTTATATGTTGCATCATCACATTACCAAAGGCGTAGGGATTATCGGTGTAATTGTAGTCGTTGAAGTGCTTCGCATCCTCTTTTGCTCTTTCCGCCAGCTCCACATTCAACATGCCTACATCCGCCATTGACCCATCTAATAACCTATTTTCCCACACATTACGTCTATGGGCGATATCATAACGCATCGCCGGAGTCCATTTACCATAACATTTAATTTGAATTTGAAGGACGTTTTCTTTATGAGCTCTTAATCGTGGTGCAATAGGTGAGTCTTTCTGACTATCTAAAATATCATATTTCTCTTCTTGATATTTGATCATTAAATTGAATCTGGTTGACCATTCATTTGATGTCAATCTATATTCGTTTACGTAAGGTAAACCGACATATGAAATAACATTAGTAGAGCAGCTAGTTTTGGTCGATCTGGTCTTCATGAATAAGGCATCTTGCATAATCCAAGTAGGGTCAAAAACCGAAACTGGCATGTGAATGTTTTTATTAATCATTATGTCATGAAAATACTGAGATAAACCTGTCATGTTATTCAAAGGTAAACTTCCTATGGTCATTTTGGTATTAGTTTCGATTTTTGTCTTTGACTTTTCTTTAACAGTTTCGGTTTGTGATTCAACTTCTTTCTTTTTCTCTTTAAATGTGAAGTTCATCAGGCCGATATCTCTAGGTTCAGTACCTTCGCTTTCACACCAAAACTGGTATTCTTCTCGAAACACTCTGTACTGATTGCTAATAAATAAACAGTGTTTGCTTTTATCAGAATCTGTGCGGTCTTTATTTTACTTAGTGGATACTTTCTCTTACATCATATCTCGATCAAGAGCTTCTTTAATGTTATACAACCACTTCGCATGACCGTGTTCTATTTGGACCGGTTCAGCCATATTCTCTACATCTGGACCTAATAAAAATTGTGATTCACAAAAGCATAAAAGCAGGGCTATTGGTAAGTTTTCTTGTCTTTTCCTCGTTCTTTTTTTTATTTTTTTTTTGGAGGTGTCAATCAAGACGATATTCCTCTTGTTTAATTTCTAATTCTTTTTCTTTATTGGAGACATCAAATTTTTTTTTTCTTTGATTCTCTTGTTCAGATTATATTTCATTCAGGTCTTGAATTTTGCCTGCATCATCAAGCCACTCTAGGACTATTTGGATAATTTTCAGGCCACACTGGGGAGTTCGGATTGTTTTCAGGCCACACTGGGAATTGCAGGAATATTTATCGGCCACTCTGGGAATCTTAGGAATGCTTATTGGCCACTCTGGGGATTTTAGGGATGTTTATCGGCCACTCTGGGAAATTTTAGGAATTATTAATTGTCCACTTCAGGGAGTAAGTCGTTATTCATCGGTTACTCTGTTATTGTTATATTTTATTTATATAACTTCTATCATCTCACGATGATTAGTAACAATAAGAAATTGGATATGTTGGAACGATTATGAAAAATGAAACGATTGAGAATTTTAAAGAAAATGGAAGACGAATTGATTGGGAAAATTGTAAAGGAAAGTGTAATATGAAGAAAGGAGAAGAATTTCTTGGTATCACGTCTCCTAAGAACAAGAACTAACCTATCCCTGTAATGTTCCCAATTCTGCCAGCTCTATCTTCTTCTCCAATTGAATCTCTTGTTTCATTCGACTGGTTTCCCTCGTTATTATCTTCTCTTCCATGATCATTATCTCTCGTACCGCCGGTTGAGTTAACGTTTAAATGGTCAGTATTACCATTCTCTTCTCCTTCTTTCGAATCACTGCCTTCTCCTTCTCCTTCAAGTACTGTAGTTAAGTTCTTGTTCTTCTTCCCTTTCCTAGTTCTAGGTTTATTCGAGTCGGCTAGTGCTGGGGTGTTAGCTCGTGGAGGAAGATTTTCGGGGAGATTTGGAGTAGACATCTTAAGTATAAACTGTTTCTGTTTTATTTAATTCTTTTTAAATTTTCTTTCTATTAGTTTTTGTTGTAGAATGTTATCAATAGTTCGATTATTTGGTTTAAAATAGAGAATTATTTGTACTAAAAAGAAAAATTTATGAAGAAATGCTGAGACTTTTCTTCTACCTTATTTGTTGTTGATGTTGTTTGATGATTCGAGTAAAGGAAACAAATTTGTTAAAGAGATGTAATATTCTTTTCCTAAATTTGTTTCCGTTGGGGAAAATCGTTCCCCATTCTCTCTCGGTACCCACTCTCTCTTCGGGTACCGAGGGTACTCGAGTCATGTGCGCCCTGTTCCATCTCATGGAATTACACAGATGCCGTCGTGCCTTTGGGCATCTGTAGCATGCATTGGCATTTTATAACTTGAATCTCCCAATTGTGGTCAAACTTACCCTTCTTTTATGAGTCTCCCATACAGTTGGGTCAGACAAAGCGTGCCACCCCCCCCTATTTGGCATTTCACGGCGCTACCCTGTCATGTGCGACGCACCCACTTCTCAAATATTGCTATAATATGGACATGGTGACTTTTGTACTCCAAGTTTACCTTTCATTGAAACCAAATTGGTCTGGTTTCTCCTCAAATCTATCACTATACAGTAAGATTTATTGTTGTACTTTTTCTGTTGTAAATTTTCTCCACTCGTCACATGCCTTTAGAATCAAAAGGTTGAAATGTGTAAGGATAATTCAAATATGCCCTTATCTATTCAAAGTGTGAAGCAATATTTATACATGTAGAAAGAATGAACAGCCATGATCATGATCAAAAAAGAGGTCTCATTTTATATCTTCATCTTAATTCTGGGACTTGTGGCAGACAATTTTTTACTTGTCTGGCTTGGTTTGAAGCATGTCATTAAAACATTCATATCACTCGCAGGCTTTGAACAATGAGCATTCTGGTTCAAGTTTCCCTAACCCCCTTTGATAGGTGAGTAGGTAATGAGATTGAACAAAATAAACCATTATCCTTATTTTGAGACACACAGGTGTGTGACATTGAAGCAGATGAACCTTGCTGTGGAGACAATCTTGTAGCTCTCAATATTCCTAGACCAGCATTGGAAGCAAGGGTTCAAGTGATGTTTTTTGTGCGTATGGCGTACATAATGAATTGTTCAGAGAGCTATTATAATATTGTTTGAACATCAGAAGATAGGAAGAACTTGGGTTGACCAAAAAAAGGTGAGTGCAAGGCTCCATATGTACGTAAAATTCTTGGGGTTTCAAGAGATCAAACTGTCCGCCAAAAGAGATCATGCAGAGCAAAAAGCAGTTGGATGATTGTGGTTCCAACCTTCAATGTGACCTGTCAACATTTACGGCTTGTTTTGAATCACAACAGATAGGTTGTATTTGGATATGCCAAAGCGTGCCAAAATATAGCAAAATAGGAATCCAAACTTGTTCTACCATCCAGAAATAAATGGCCAAGGATCGGAAGATCACGGTCTGTGTCTTTTAAGTCTCTGATGTGGCCTGTTCATGCGGAAGTCTATGGACACGTAGCTGTTGTGGAAAATGTACAAAGGGTGCCTCAAGGACTATTTAAACAGGTGTTGATGAGTGACAAACTTGTTGTCCCCTCATCCTCATCAGCTCTTGGTCATTCTAAAATTTCCATATTTTTGTTGACATCAATCCTAAGAAGTTGTAGCCTTTCTGCTTCTTTGTGAGAAGTAGACACATCTAGTTTGTAATTTATCTTAGTTCATCATTTGTCTCAATCATGAAATATCCCAAAATCAACCTTGGTTCTTTCTTAGAGCCTCTGCCATTGAGATAAATACTAATCACATTCTGTTGCCCTTTGATCTATAGCCCAAGATATAGGATTCCAGGTTTTGTGTGTTTGGAGCTTCCTTGCACAGCTTTTTCCCAGTTAAGGTTGCCACAAACTGACTTGAGGACATTACCACAGAAAGTCCGTCCTCACCCAAAAGCCAAACATGTTGAACATAGTACATCACTTCCCAAAAACCATAGACTTGATCTGTAAGTTTATAAAATCTCTCTCATCTGTGGTTCAACAGGATTTCATCTTATCACATCAAATTTAGTCAGCTGATGAGTGATTAGTAGTCCGTTTTGTAAAATGATGCCTTTGAAGAGTGTGTCTGTCTTCAGGATTCTCAGTATCATCTTTGCTTCCGCGACTTTGGCATTTGCAGACTTTTCATGGGTAATGGAGTCCGGTATCAATGTTTCCAACATGCTTGGTACAGACTGAAATGAGTGTGGAGATAGACTAGAGGTCCCATTACAAAGCACCAAGGTGCCATGTAGGTTGGATGTCACTTGCCGTTGTGGTGACAATGTACAAAAATGTTGTGAGAGGTTCACCCCAAAGACCATGTTCTGCAGCAATCCAGAATGTGTTGCGCAATTCATAGCTAGATGTGAAGAAGTACACCTAATATCTTGCCAGGAGGCCCATGGTTGGCCATCAAATGCAGCTGGACCATCACTGAAACCAGCACCACCAAAAACAGGAAAATAAGTTGTGAAATCATGAAGGATCCTTAACTTTACAAATTCACCATCAAAATAAACTGTCTATTTATTCTCCTGTAGTTTGAAATCAAGACTCGTCAATCTCATTATGTTTTGCTTTCTAAAGTTATGTCAAATATCAGGATGTCAAGCATAAGGGAATGAATAGCCCTGCAGGAAAATGGTTGAAATATATTGTAAGAAGCCTTCTTTGTGCATGAAAATATGTTTTGATAGTGTCTATAAGTCATGTGAATTCCCTGGTGTGACCCGTTCTGAGGGATTTTGTCAGAAAGGGCATAAGCCACCTCAGTGGCATATCACCTTTCTTACAATAAACTCATTACATATAAAAACCTATTAATGAATTACATGTAGTACTAGTAATGAGAAAAAGAAATCATGTGATACTTCAGTACATACAGATAAACACTTGTAACTATCAATCACATGTACAGTGTGCACGCTATCCATTTCTATCTTATTTCATATTCAGTTATTCTTTTTCTCTTTCTGCATGGTATTCAATAAAGATACACATCATTGAACAAATATATTACACGTGGATCAAAGTGAAAGATGATCCTACATGATTTGTTTGGTGTTAATCTTTCTAATAACCCCATGTAGCCTTAGTTCAAGCAATCACGTTGAACTGGGATCCCGACTTAGTAGCTGTTCATCTAAAATAGATCTTCTTGGCAGGTGCCAAGGCAGGATGTCTAGGTTTCACGTGCTAAACAGATAGGTTATAATTGAATACCTCACAAGGGTGATTCAGGATTATATGGTTACACATGCTAAATTAGATATTACATATGTACACCATGTAGTGGCTCTTTATTGCCAAACTGTTTACAGGAGGTGTAATCAGACCCTGGCTTGCAAGCCAATCCCAATCTGTTTGGCCCCAAGTACAACAAGTGTTTTGCACACAGGTTGAGCACATACATCCTGACAACCACTTGGTCGACAGATTGGCACCATTTACCTCAAATTAGTTCCACCTCCACGTTGAACTCCAATAGTTCCATAATATTTGAATTAAACCCGTGTTCACACGGTGCTCCAATGTCTAATACATGATGACAGTGCTACCTTCCCTTTGAATCAAATGACAAAGACAGCTCCCTCTCTTCAAGGAAGAAATGGTGTTGGTCATCTTCAAACAAGTTCATCCAATTGTTGCATGTTGATTATAAGTGCCTAATGATTATAATTGGGTGGTAATGAATATGAATCAACCCAATATCTACCGGCATGTAGTTCATTTGATTAAATTGGATCCTCTTTGTCTGACTGACAACAAGTTTTTCTCCAGGCTTCATAGTGGATGACCAAGGATCTGGTGTGGTACAGGCATATTTATCCTGTTCCAGTATCCACCCAATTCAGTGGAGTTCTATCCACTGTCATTGCCAAAACATATCTCATACTCACAATCTCAAGCAAATGTTGGCCCACCAAACAAGGGCAAGGTTGAGGTCCCTCAGCCCTGCCAGCCACAATGCAAAAGTCCTTTGATGAATCATGTCAAACACCCTTTGATATCTACTGCACTGGGTCACTCAGAAAACAACAATGACAATCTTGATGAGCAACAACGGACCATTGTCAAAGTATGGTCAGTGAGCCATTACCAAGTCTTTGATCACCCAGAGCTCATTTTTAACTTCCCAGACAACAATATTGGACACATAAATTTTAATTCTGATGATGCTGAGAGTGACAAAAATAGTGTTTCCTCACCTTGTGACTTTGGGGACCCAGCTTAAATTGGGATTGATGTTGACAACCATACAAACTGGGCCCCACTCACAAGTTTGTGATTCAGTTCTCTCAACCTTTGTGTTTTATTGATCCAAGTATGATTGACTCTGTTTATTATTGTTATATCCAGAGATGTGTTGGCTTATGTTGGCTTTACCGGAACCCAAATGTCCAGGCTTGATTCCAAAAGGGTCAGATTTGTTGAAGTGTGCAATCGACGTAAGAAGAAGCAGTTACAATTAATATGAAAGTTGGATATACAAAGAAAGACAAATATGAAAATCATTAGCGAACAAAAGGAGACTTACGCTATTAACAAATTGCCCCAATGTGTTGTAAAGAATTGATTACTTATAAGCCTCTTCTCCTCACTCGACTTACTTCTCTATTCCCCATCTTTGGGAAGAGAATAAGTTGATTTCTACCTTTTTGTCAATTACATCCAGCTTTATAATTGATGCCTTATTTCAACTTGTTTTTTTCTTTTCAATAACATCTTTTATCTTATCTCGTAGAACCAAAGATCAGTTATCTATTAGTGATAACTTATAACTAACATCAGTCTGAACCGCTAATAGGTATTCCTTGTTCTTGTATAATTATCTTTTGTCTCATTTCTGATTAGACTATTGTTGTTGTTAGGTCAGCACTTTTATCGTTGAGTATCTTGTAGGAGGTTGTGCTCATTAG